AGAGTCATCATTCTGGGAGCAGGGGCAGAAAAGAAGGAAAACAGATTTATTTTTTACATATAGGAGTAAGATATTTGGTAACAACATTATTATGTTTCAACTCTGTTTAAGCTACTGTACCTAGGGAATTCTTAAAACTTAAATGTTAAGTTCCAGTACTTTTGAAATATGCTATTATAAACTGCTAAGGATAAGTAAGAAATGTGAGTTAGTAGTCAGACAATCAAACTCATGGTCATGTTAGATAGTAGTCTAGTTTATTACAGAAATTTGTTTTCAAAGTTGAAAGTATAGTAAATAGCTAGAAACAATGTATATATACTATAGATAGTCTTCAAAAACCTCAGAGATCTACAAAATACGGCATTTAAAGATGTTTTATTATAGCCGGGCAGTGGTGGCACACGCCTTTAATCCCAACACTTGGGAGGCAGAGGCAGGTGGATTTCTGAGTTCGAGGCCAGCCTGGTCTACAAAATGAGTTCCAGGACAGCCAGGGCTACACAGAGAAACCCTGTCTCGAAAAACTAAATAAATAAATAAATAAATAAATAAATAAATAAATTGGTGGGAGCCGACTCTGAGCCGAGGGTGGCTATTATCTTTGCAGCCGTCTTGAGGCATGTACCCTGACAAGAGACTTGTTTTCAACAGCCTACAACAGCTGAGCACACTCTGATAATTATCTTGATCCTTTCAGTCAAGGCCAGGCAGTGGTAGCACACTCTCTAATCCCAGCACTTGAGAGACTCAGGAGAGATATAAAAGGAGCAGTCAGAGGCAGTCAGAGGCAGAGCAGACAGACTCAGACTCCGTCTCCAGCAGTAGACTCCGTCTCCAGCAGGCAGACTTCATCTTTGACCAGACTTCGTCTTGTCTCCGTTCTTTGCGTCCCTGTCCCCACTCTCTCTCTTGCTCCCTGACCCGAGGACCGGAACAGCAGAACGGCTCGTTACAATAAATAAATAAATAAATAAATAAATAAATAAATAAATAAAATCTTTTTTGACAATGAGGCAGGCCTGCTCCTGGCAGCACCCACATTGTACTTCAAAGATTATATGGCTCGCCAGGCAGTGGTGGCACACGCCTTTAATCCCAGCACTTGGGAGGCAGAGGCAGGTGGATTTCTGAGTTTGAGGCCAGCCTGGTCTACAGAGTGAGTTCCAGGACAGCCAGGACTACACAGAGAAACCCTATCTTGAAAAACAAAACAAAAAACAAAAACAAAAAAAGATTATATGGCTCAAATGCACACAAAATATTGTCCAAACTAGACAAACGATACAGGGAAGTTGACTACTGGGGTTTGCAAAGATAAGTTAGGCAAGTCCTTCATATTTCCTAGTTTACAAAGTCTGGGCCAGAAGGCTGAATGAAGATGATGCTCCTAGGACTCAGAGAAACTGTGGGGGACTGCCCAGTCACCCAACAACCTCTGTCATTTCAATAGTTCTAGAAGCTGCTTGTCTGCACTTCCTGCACACTCAGGTAATTTTATTTCCTTCCCAGATCTCTGATGGGGTTGAAGACTAGCTAGACTCACAATTAAGCTTAAATTGTTTAGGATTTCAGAAAATGTTTTAAGATCTAAGAAGATATTCTTAGGTTTATAAATGCAAGTTTCAATAGAAAATTATTTAAGTACAGAACTCTACCTCACCAAGATAGGATAGAAAGTAGAGTACTTTCTCCAAAGTTGTCAAATACAAATGGACTAGACATTGTACATATAATTCTTACTTGATGGTTTCATAATTGTTCTTATGGTATATAATTTATTGATGTAAAAGAAAGAGTTCAGCCTTAGCACACATCTTTAATCCAAGACTTTTCTGCTTGAATAGTGTAAACTGTGTCAGGGGCAGCCTTGCTTATACACTGAAGGCCTAAAATCAGCAATAGGTCTAAGTCAGCCTGTTAACACAAAGTCTTGGTCTCTGTGGAAAAACACAGAAACAGATAACTATAAAATACTGTAAACAGAGCCGGGCGGTGGTGGTGCACGCCTTTAATCCCAGCACTTGGGAGGCAGAGACAGGCGGATTTCTGAGTTCGAGGCCAGCCTGGTCTACAGAGTGAGTTCCAGGACAGCTAGGGCTATACAGAGAAACCCTGTCTCGAAAAACCAAAAAAAAAAAAAAAAAAAGATATTGTAAACAGGCAGCTTTGGAATTTACCAGCCTGAGTTAGTCATAGACCTTGTAAATAGGTAGCCTTGGTAGATAGTACCAATTTAGATAAGGACAAGTGATAAGGCAGAGTCACAGTGACCTGTCCCCTGAACCTTCACCCAGCCGATACCCTGTTCTGGAAGATATCTGTACTCCCCTTGAACACCTATGCGCCTGCATCATCCCCTTCCCCACATCCTGCCTTTTTGTGTATATAACCCCTGTTCGAAAAAGTAAAAATCACTGTTTGATCAGACTATAGACAAGCTGTCATTCTTTGCGTCTGCCTGTTTCCTCCATCTTCTCTTTCAGGTGACCTCCCCGGACCCTTGTTTAATGCCCTGCTGGACGGGGCAAAACTGGATTAAATGAAATCAACCACTGGTCAAGGAACACAGCAAGAGGGCTGGAGAGATGGCTCAGTGGTTAAGAGCACTGACTGCTCTTCCAAAGGTCCTAAGTTCAATTCCCAGCAACCACATGGTGGCTGAAAACCATCTGTAATGGGATCCAATGCTCTTTTCTGGTGTGTCTGAAGACAGCGACAGTGACAGTGGACTCACATAAATAAAATAAATAAATATTAAAAAAAAAAAAAGAAACACAGCAAGAAACCAATTGACAGGAAGTGAATATAGGATTAAGGAAAAAAAAACAAACAAACAGAGAATAAGAGGGAGCCAGGAGGACAGATAGAGTGATACACAGGAAGTAGAAGGGAGAGACATTCAGTTTGATTTGAGAAGTCAAGAGGGGGAGGAAGATTCCTTCTCGGATACTGGTTGAGGAGGAAGGTCAACTGAGTGCTTTTTCTGGCTCTATGAGCTAGCAGGCTTTCACCCCAGCAACTGGCTCCTGATTCTTCATTGGTAAAATCAAACTGAGATAATGGTTTAAAAACCAACAGGGAACTCTATCCTAATGTTAAAATCCCTGTGACCTCCTCCAACTCCATTCTTACTGCAATTCCCACTATTCTGGACTCCTTTTTTCTTTTTCCTAGCCTCACTGGGCCTGGCCTTGTTGCATTATTTTTATTTATGTGTATGTGTGTGTAGCTGTGTATTTATCAACACCACATTCATGCAGGTGGCTGTGGAGAGTATCAGAGCCCCTGAAACTGGAGCTACAAGCAAGTTGTGAGTCTCCTGACAGGGGTCATAGGAATCAAACTCAAGTCCTTTACAAAAATAGTAACTACTCTTAACTGCTAAGGAATCTCTCTAATCCCTTTTATATTAAAGAGGTTGGGCAAGACGTTGGAATCAAACCCAGGGCTTTGTCATGGTACTACTCAGCTACACCTCCAGTTGCCCTTTTAAACTGTTTATTTCAGCTGGGCGGTGGTGGCACATGCCTTTAATCCCAGCACTTGGGAGGCAGAGGCAGGTGGATTTCTGAGTTCAAGGCCAGCCTGGTCTACAGAGTGAGTTCCAGGACAGCCAGGACTACACAGAGAAACCCAGTCTCGAAAAACAAACAAACAAACTTCAAAAAATAAATAAACTGTTTATTTCTTTAGTGTGTGTGTGACCTGACATATCTGTAGAAGTCGGAAGACAATTTCAGAGAATCAGTTCTCTCCTCCTACCTTGTGAATTCTGGGGAATCAAACTCAGGTCTGACAGAGCCTTTACCCTCTGAGCCCCTTCACCAGCCCCCTACTTGCCTTTTTATGTGTCTATACCAAATTTCACTTTTTTTTCTTTACTCCTCCCAAATCAGACACTTCAAAATCCTCTTTGTAACCAGACTAAAATGCCACACTGCTGAATATCTCTTGACTTCTATTCTACTTTTTGTGCTTATTTATACAAACAGCGACCTTGTCTTATGAACTGCAAGTCTTCTGAAAATGGCTGTGAATGCCTCCCTTCTACTACCATTGCCAAGGAAGATTTATGTTTCCCTAATCAAATGCATAAAGAAGTAGGAAAATTACTATTCATTTACTCAACACCTTATGATTAGCCGCATAGCCATCTCTGTCCAGAGGGCTGAGAATTTGAACAGGTGACCTATAGTCACACATCCTAGAGGAAAAGGATGTTTAAGTGAAGAATGGTATAGCACACTCTTACTGTATACATCAGAGACTCAACTGCTTCTTACAGCCCACTTGCTTACAGATATTATCTCAGAAACCAAAACACTGAGGTTCAGACCTCTCAGTCATTTCTTAGGGTGGCAGTCAGGCCTCATGAACCTACTTATTTTGACACATACATACATACATACATACATACATACATACATACATACCCACTTTGTCGGAAAGGCATTATGCCAAATTACCTAGTTGTGGCGGTGAAAGTTAACCTTGTTTTTGAGAAAAGGTTTCTTTTTTTTTTTTTTCTTGGCTCTTCGAGACAGAGTTTCTCTGTATCGCCCTGGCTGTCCTGGAACTCACTCTGTAGACCAGGCTGGCCTCGAACTCAGAAATCCACCTGCCTCTGCCTCCCAAGTGCTGGGATTAAAGGTGTGCGCCACCACTGCCCGGGGAGACAAGGTTTCTTTAAGTAATTCTAGCTGTCCTGGAACTCGCTATGTAGCCCTGGCTGTTTTAGAATTCGCTATGTAGACGAGGCTGATCTCCAACTTAAAAACGAAGCCCCCCCCCCCCCGCGCCTCATACCATCCCACGCCCCACAATAATATTGGGATTAAAGAAGTGCGCCACAAGCCCCAGCCCCTTGGTTTTTGCTTTGTTTTGAAACGCGGTCTCTCTATGCAGTCCTAGTGGCTACTAGTCCAGAATCGTTTCCAAATAGGCCAAAAGCGAGCACTAGCCACCCTACCCGGGGCAAGCTCTCCCTACCGCCTTACCCCCGGCCCAGCCCGGGTACGTAGCCCAGCGGCGCAGGCATGCCCAGGAACGGCTTCTTCTTCTTGTTCATGGCGGTGTTATTGACCGAAACAGAGAAAAGCAGGGGAACAAGTATGCGGCAGAAGACTCGGAGCCCTCCCGGTGTCGCAGCTGGAAGAGAAGCAGTCACTACGTCATCGGCACACCGGAAGTAGAGAACGGGGTCGCGGAAAGCCCCGCCCACTTTGATGCTCGGGCGGAAGTCAAAGATGTGGGTTTGCAAAGTGTTTCCGGCCTAGACTGCGTGCAGTTTGGTGAGGGAAAACGCGCGTGCGCGCGAAGCTGTTAGGTATAGCGCCACAGGGCTATGGGTTCAATTGTCATGCCAGCCATGACGCGCAGCCAGAGCCCATTCGTCCTGTTCAGGAGCGTTCCGGTGCAGGCATAGTTGCGAAGCCGCTTAGTTCAGCCACCATAACCACTTCCGACTTGCCTTACCGTACTGAACCGTTACCGAAGGTCCAGACTGCAGGCTAAATGATCAGATCCAGGACCACCCCCCATTGCCCACGCACCTTCGAAGAATAAGTGTATAGTGCACTCAACAGCGTGTGGGCCAGCGTCATAGGCTTGGGAGTGATTGTGTGCCCAGTGGCTTGGGTGGACTCACACTATGCCACTTTGCACAGATACTTTTTGCCTGTGTGCTTCTCCTCCTGGAAACACAATACCACCCCCACCTGCTGTGTGATAATAGCCTCAGGTCATGAATTAGGCTGTACAGAGCATTAACCCCAAGCTATAAAAAGTTGATTAGCCTCAGGGATGGTCTGCTCTATCTGCAGAAACAGTATACCAAGGGAATGGAAAACAACTCTGCTACCAGTTAAACCTCAAAAATAGCTGTAACTTCCTGGTACCTATTCTGTGTGCATATGTCCCAGCCCTTTTACATTGGGTGCCTTCAGTGTTTCAATAAAGTGGTCTCAACCGGTTGAGACAGAGTCTGCCTCTCAGCCTCACTTTTCTTTCACCTCCTGGACCTGGGGAGAACACCAGGCTCTAGGTCAGGCAGTAAAAACTGAGTTGTGCAGCCTGGACTCTGTGCTCGACCAGACAATCAGACTTGTGCATCCAATGCCTTTCAGTGCAGTACTAAAGCAGTCCTGGCTCTCTAGACAGGTTTTTAGGGAGGAACGGGACTGAATCTGTGAACACTGAATGACAGGGAACTGAGCCTGACCAACGGGCTTCACAGAGATGAGTATTACTGCCCAAAGTTCAAAGCAAAGTGGCCTGCAAGTGAGGATCAGCAAATTCTCCAGTAAAGAATGAGCTACTAGTTGACTCAGACAGATACAAACACCAACAGCCAAACCATGGATGGAGTTTAGGGATTCTTATGGAAGAAGTGTGGGTCCTGAGGGGGATAGGAACTCCACAGGACTACCAACAGAGTCAACTAACCTTCACCCTTTGGGCGCTCAGAGTCTGAATCACCAACCAAGGAACCTACACCAGCTGTATCTAGGCCTCCCCACTCACATGTAGCAGATGTGCGACTTGACCTTCATGTTGGTCCTGAACAACTGGAGTGGGGACTATCTCTCTATGTGGGGTATGTTCTACTAGCTAGACTGCCTTGTCTGGCATCAGTGGGAGAGGAAGCACCTAGCCTCGCAGAGACTTGAAGTGGGAGGGGGTGTCCCAGGGGGGCCCCACCCGTCCAGAGGAGAAGGGGAAGGATTGGGGAAGGGGTGACCAGGAGGGGGAGAGTGAGCAGGATGTAAAATGAGTAAGTAAAAAAAAATTAAATTGAAAAATAATCATGTATGTATGTATGTATGTATGTATATAAAGAATGAGCTAGTGGGGCTGGAAATATAAGTCGGTGGTTAAGAGAATTTCCCGTTTTTGCAGAGGACACGGGTTCACCCATGTGGCAGCTCACAACTGTTCATAACCCCAGTGCCAGGAGATCCAATGTTCCCTTCTGGACACCAGGTGCGTGTGTAGTGCACAGATACACACTCGGGCAAGACATTCATAAAATTTTAAAAAGGAATGAGCAAATTAGGATACGCAGGTATTTGGGAGAGAATGATCGGCCCTTGGCCAGTCTGACCACAGGTGTGATTACCCCACCACCACCACCACCAGACCGAGGGGACATCGCTTGCCAACAGCAAAGGCCCTTCAGCGGGTTGCAAGAGAGCCTGGTCCACGGAGTCCTACCCAGGTGCGCAAGGACGCCTTTTGCTCTGGCGGACATCCTCGGCACACGCAGCCCCGCGCGCCGCCGATACACCTCGGAGCACCCGGAGCGCGCCTTGCGCCCAGGGCTGGGCGGCAGGTGCTTTGCCGCGCAGACTCCCCGGCCGCGGGGACCGGCTTGGGCGCTGCCGGCTCCGGCAGGTGGGGACGCAGTGCGCGTTGCCCACCAGCCACACTGGCTGCCTGGTGCTCCGCGAGGGGCGTGTGCCCGAGCCGCGCAAACGCGGGCTCCATGTTTACCGAGCTGCGGTCAAAGCTGAGCCCCCCGCGAGCTCGCGCCGGGGCTGTGCGTACAGGCTTCGGGGAGCGCCCGGATGTGGACGGTGAGCTGGGATGGACCCAGGCGCAGGAATATCGTGAGCAGCGGGCAGAGAGCGGGAAGGGTACCGGGGCCCAAGGAGAGCACTGGGGCTAGACTCAAAGGGTTTCCGGGGGCGGCCACTGCGGGGAGGAAGTATTTTTTACTAGAGTCCAAGGGCCTTTGTCCAGCATTATGAGACGGGAGGGCGGCGGTTAGTCTCAGGCCTGACTTGAAGTGGGGATGATTGACAGGAGCTTCTTCACCGAGATGACACCACACTCTGGTCATCCTTTACTTCACATAGTGAAAACCCTCCCCAAGCCCTTAACGTTGGGGTCGAAATGAGGCAAAGGCATGTAATTCTGGGGTTGAGGTTAAGAACAACAGACTCCGGCCCTGTGCAGGGAGGAAATAGGCGGGGCCTGGGCAACCTTGGCAGGTGCGGTTATAGCCAAGACGGTGGACTGGTTTCCCCTTATGAGGAGCTTTCTAGCCCTAACCCATGGAAGGCCCTGCAAAGCCCTCAGACTACAGTGCCTATTCCCCGGACCTCGCTCGCTTGGAATAAGTCTTATGGTACTACAGGCTACCTCAGAATAGTGGCCATACACTTCTTAAGCCCACCTTCTTTCTTCTGACTTGCAGGTACCACATAGAGCCACTTGTTCATATACAGTACTTATGGATGCTTTCAGTGCATCAAGATATTGATCATCCCCAGACTCATGTGATTCCCGTAAATGACCCTAACACTAACTTAGCAAGTGCAATGGATTTGTTGGAGAAGGACTGTGCTAACTAGTCCATACCTAGCTGGCACCCTATTCATACTAGTTGTCCTGGGATAGGCCCTGTAGAAGTCACACAAAAAGGAAATCCAGCATGTGTCTGGCAAGTTCTTCTTGTCAGCTTTCCCAGAGTTCAAACTTTTTGTCAGTGAGTCATAGTTAGAGACTATTAAAGACAAAGATCTGTGCACACCCTGGTCCTGCATGGCATGTAGGAGGCTTGCTTGTCAGCCCAAGGCAAGCGCAAAGCAAATCAGGGCAGTCCTGGAGATAGCTGCTCTCTTGACCCCGGCTATGGCGAGTGTAGTCATCCTCCAATCTAATCATCCAGAGTGTGGGCTATCAGCTGATAAAGGGAAAGACATGTCCAGTTTATCTTCTGAAAGAAGTTCTCAAGACAACTCTTGCAAAAAAAAAAAAAAGTTTTGATCTTGGGGGCTCAAGATTCCCCCTACAGGATAAATTATTACTAGTCCCCTCATTGGTAGAGGGAAGATTTAATTGTCAGGGAGCTGAGTCAGAGGGAGGAACTTGCCCCTGACCACTCTGTATGCACATCCCTGCATACAGCCTCTGCCCATTTCAGCTTCTGCCAGACCCTCCTAGAGCACACGGTATCAGCTGAGAACATACCCTGCCACCTCCCTCGGACACCAGGCACCAGCCTCACGTGGCATGATTCCCGCAGCCAGAGGGCATCCAGCAGCAGGCCAATCAAGCTCCTTCAACAGCCGGGCTCAGAGACCCCCCAGGTGCCTACCTATCCCACCTAAATCTTAGCCCTTGCCCTCAGTTTTGTCACTTCCATTCTACTGACCTTACCTCCCTACCTACAGGCCCGGCTCTACTCTGATCACTATGGCTTGTACCATACAAGCCCTTCGCTGGGTGGCCTGACAAGGCCAGTGGTCTTGTGGAGCCAGCAGGACGTTTGCAAGTGGCTCAAGAAGCATTGTCCTCACAACTACCTCGTCTACGTCGAGGCCTTCTCCCAGCATGCCATCACTGGTATAGTGGGTTACGGGTTAGGGAGGACCAGAATGCTCAAGACTTAGCCTTGTCTTCACTTGTATCCTGGTGACTGAGTTCAGCCTTCTGTGTGTGTGTGTGTGTGCGTGTGCGTGTGCGTGTGCGTGTGCGTGTGCGTGTGTGTGTCTGTCTGTATGTCTCTGTGTGTCTTTGTGTCTGTTTGTCTATGTTTGTGTGTGTGTCTGTGTCTATGTCTCTGTGTGTGTGTGTCTTTCCTAGTCTCTCTGCTCTGCCTTTTGATGCTTCTCTCCTTGGCCTCTATCTTTTAATCAATCTTGTCTTTCTCTCTACCTTTCTTCCTTTAAGAATCTCTGAATCTCTACTCCACTTTCTTGGTCTTTGGTGGGTTTACTTTTGTTTGTTTATTTTATTCTGATAGAGTCTTGTGCTTTGCCTCTGTTTGCCTCACTGACTTCTTCCTTCTCTCTCCATAGGCCGAGCTCTGCTTCGATTGAATGCAGATAAGCTGCAAAGAATGGGGTTGACCCAAGAGGCTCAGAGGCAGGAGGTGCTGCAGCAGGTGCTCCACCTGCAGGTTCGTGAGGAGGGGCGGAGCCTGCAGCTGCTCAGCCAAGGTTAGTATCAGGGATCTAGAGTACCAGGGTTAGGGGGAAGGACTAGGCTGTGTAGGATGACTATTCTTAACACAAAAGAGTGGCTGGGGGCATCCAGTAAGGACCATCCTTGAGTGTGCCAAAAATCAACTTTTCCTCCTATTTATCCTACAGCTTCCTTCGGGAACATGTCCTAGCTGCTGCCTATACTTGGACCCCAGACCCCAACACTGTGACCAGAGCCCACAGCCAAGAATGAGTCAGAACTGGCCCTACAGCCCC